CTCAAGACGCGGATGGGATAAGCGAGAGAAAGAAGAAGGGGATGCGAGATACCGGAATGTAGAACGTACTAAATTACTTCCATCTCGAGTGCTCGCGTTCTTCTTCCGTGCAGTTGCGGCTTGTTACGCCCACGCGCCTCTCATTACATGAATTATCTACGGTTTCAACAATCACCGATACCCAGGTATCGTTCCCTAATTAACACACTGCAGATTTGTTCCATTTAGTGTTAGTAGAGAATTAATCAGGAAATTCTCTCTTCCATTCAATGATTGCAAGCTTCTTGTTGCCTTACATTTTCTGTACATTCAATTTTTTTTATAAACTTATCATCAATAATTTTAAATATTGAAATATTCATCTAGCTTTCAATATGCTATGTAGTATTATACACCAGACGCAGTATTTACCATTTTTGCACATTCTATCTTTCTCTAAATTCATTATCAATTAGTTTTGTAAAAAATTCTCCCGGTTGAGTACGATGGGGTACTCGATTACATGAACACAATCGAATAGAGAAGAGATTGCTAAATGTTGATCTACGCCGATTGAAGTTAAGCGCTGAAAGTATATCCATTCGAAACGAATTTTACACGAATGTGCACTTAACGGTGCACAATAGACACCCCGGTGACTAAGCCACATTTCCGGGGTACGAGAGAAATCTATTCTTCGGTCGCGTGCACCCGCCATACCATCGACACCGCGTGATTAATGAAAGGTAAAGATCCTCGGGGTCTGTGACCTATGATTTCCAGGCGGAAAGATCAGACGAGTTTTTAACCGTTTCTCTTGCATCCGTTGCTCGGCCAAAGCCAGATGATTGCAAGCCTTGTGCTCGATTTACCGTCCTTCATATCAGTCTAGTCTAGATATTGGACTTCGATCCACAGTTGTCATTAAGAATTGCACATTTTATTTTCTGATACGTGCTTCTGCATACAGGATTAAAATCAATACGTTTTACTTTTACGGAACAGCAATTCAAAACGGAAATATTGAATTCATACTCTAGTGGAATTAGAATTATATTGTTCTTGTTAGTAGAAATTAATCGAATAGAGAAGAGATTGCTAAATGTTGATCTACGCCGATTGAAGTTAAGCGCTGAAAGTATATCCATTCGAAACGAATTTTACACGAATGTGCACTTAACGGTGCACAATAGACACCCCGGTGACTAAGCCACATTTCCGGGGTACGAGAGAAATCTATTCTTCGGTCGCGTGCACCCGCCATACCATCGACACCGCGTGATTAATGAAAGGTAAAGATCCTCGGGGTCTGTGACCTATGATTTCCAGGCGGAAAGATCAGACGAGTTTTTAACCGTTTCTCTTGCATCCGTTGCTCGGCCAAAGCCAGATGATTGCAAGCCTTGTGCTCGATTTACCGTCCTTCATATCAGTCTAGTCTAGATATTGGACTTCGATCCACAGTTGTCATTAAGAATTGCACATTTTATTTTCTGATACGTGCTTCTGCATACAGGATTAAAATCAATACGTTTTACTTTTACGGAACAGCAATTCAAAACGGAAATATTGAATTCATACTCTAGTGGAATTAGAATTATATTGTTCTTGTTAGTAGAAATGTTGCTGATACAAATATTGTTTTAAAAATATTGCTGGTAAAAATATGGTTTTAAAAATAATATTAATATGTAATTAGCATTCGACGCGTTTCAAATTGGATTCTATCGCGGTCCGCGCGGCGCGACGTTTCGTGAAAGCCTTCCCAGCCGAACGATTCCCTTTTCCCAGCGGAACTGTTAAACCGCCGATACGATTTGACGGCTGTCAACCGATTTTCCTGAATACCAGATGCGATCGCGGCGCACCGCGTCGGTCCCGAGTCAGGCGGAGCTAGGTCGTTCGCCTAAAATCAATATCTACATATTTTATAGCTCGTAGGAAACCAGAGTCTTCGATAAACGCGTTCAAATATTCTTCCAAGTATTCGATCGTCAAGTCGTGAACACTTTCGAGACTTCATTCACGCAGCTGTTGTGTCATTTATTAGTAAAGTAGATATGATGAGGTAATAGTCGAAGAAGTTCTATCGAGCTATGTTTTACATTTTCACTTGTCTTCCTGTAGATATATTCTAAGTAATTAATCGCACCCGCTTAGTCTTCTCTTTTACTTTATGGGGTGGACCATAATTAAATGTCATTTCTATTGTGATTAACTAAATTTCGTTTTTAAGTTTTAGATCAACACGTAATTTCTTTCTTTAATTTTTTTTAACCAGCATCTCGAGTTTTAGCTAGACTATTAAATTCCAAATAATGTGTTGCAACACCTCATATGTGAAATTGTATTTTTCAACCCTCCAATTTATGTAGGTTTTTATGGGAAAATGAAATCTAGACTGAGATTCCTTTTAAAATGCACATTATATGTATTTTATAAATCCGGAGTATGGTTCTTAATCGTAATCTTAAACCTGCTTAAATTAAATTCTGTACATAGAAAATTTTTGACAGGTTTATCATAATAATAGAAGTCAACATTTATGAAACTAATCTCAATTCATTATTGTTCATAGCAATTTTTGATTTATGGAGTTGCAACCGAAAAGTGGGGCGATGGATAGATTTAGAAAAGTAGTAACACGAGCGTGCTTACGTTAGTGACACATTCGGGTCTTGGCTCGTTATAACGTGTTATGATAGCTGTTCATGTTCTTGTAGAGAATTAGCCCTGATAGGGTATCAGTGCCACGTTGGAAGAATGTACGTGACAGTAACTGTCCTAGGTCGACGTCACTTTTGAACTCGGTCAACCATTCCGAAATGAGAAAAACAGGCGGTTTCAATTTTCATCTGCGAGCCTCGGTGTCCTAGCTGGCAAGTCCTAAACGACATGCATTGTTGCATTTGCGGAACGGTGAATTGTTCTTGGGGGAAACAAACGGTTCGTTTCGTCGATTAGCCCGGTCCCCTCGGATCACCGACGCGTTCCCCATTTACAGGGAAAGAGGGATCGATCGGTATAGACGAATGATTCATTCAGTAAGTAGAATGATGCGAGCGTTGCCTGTGAACAACCAAGAGGGTCCCTTTTGTGCTCGCGTCCGAGCCGAATTCTATTTGTCAACAGCTTTTAGTCCAGCGCGGATCAAAACGGCTTGTCATCGTTTTATTAGATGAAATATAGATTACGTCTAACTAACTTTAATAACAAAATGATTACTATACTTGGCAAAGTGTCTTTGGGTAAATATAACACATATACGGTAAGTACTGCACTTTCAATATAATACATGAAACAATAAATTGTTATCATATCCTTGCTCAGTACCGCATGCTATAGAAACGTTTCACTAAGTCTAATAGATAAGATAATAAATTGAGAAGATGGAGGAAATTATAAAAATAATAAAATGTAATAATAGAGTTCCCGGATATTAAAGATTGTACGAAGGTGCTATCGATTCAGAGAGAAAGAAAGTAAGAAACGGTAGATTGGTTTAAGATCAATAAGTAGACTGCAGACTTATGAAAGGATTGGATGTACATGAAATATAAGAAAATGTATGTACTGTTCTTTTCAAAACAAATCTTAGCCTGTAGGATTAATCTTAAACGTGAACGAAAATTACTATTATAATGTGTTATAACGAAAAAACCCGAATTCTAATCTATTCATTGTCCTACTTCTCAGTTGCAACTCCATATATTAAAAATTGCTATATACAGTAACGAATTGAAATTAGTTTAGGGTTTAAGATTACAATTATTAATACAGACTGCGGATTTATGAAATGCATAAAATATAAAGAATGCATGTAATATGCATTTAAAAAAAAATCTGAATCTAGATTTCATTCCCCCATAAAAATCTGCAGTCTATGATGAATTAAAGGATTGAAGGATGCGAAAAGAGTTTGCGGATAATAACAATTGTAACGATTGTACGAAGTTTCTATCGATTCAGCGAAAAAGAAAGCGGAGAAACGGTAGTCGGCGCATAGGTAGAATAGCCCGCAGGTGAACCGTCGCGTGAATAGCGAGCCGAATAGAAGCCACGGTCGTTCCTCCGGCAATCTCTGGATCCTTTCACTTTTTAACCCGGTTTTCATTGTCGAGCCGCGGGCGCAGCCGGTGCGGCGCGGCGGCAGGTCGTTGCTGTCACGGCTGGCCCGAACCGCTCCCGGTAATTAACGCTACACCTCTCTCACCAGCAGCGTTTGCTTTCTTTCTCGCGGGAACGCCTCGACAATGCGTCTCCCCGTGAAAATTTCGCGGCCAATTTTTCACGGGTCGCGCCACGCGAGACTGCCGGATGCAAAGAGAAAAGCAGCGCGATTGCCACTCGACGATTTTTTTCCTCCTTTCTTTTTGCGTTACTCGAGATGATTAATGAGTAAAAAAAACCAGTTGCAGTCGCTAATTGCCGAGAGTGGCGATCAGACGTTGTTTTTATCAGTGTACCAGACTATCAGCGCATCCTCTGCGTATTAGGACACCACTGGTTCAGTGTTCGGAAGATTTATCTCCTCCTTAATTGGAATCTGTATATGCGACGAATGTTGTATCTTTATTGAGGAAAATGCATAGAAGTTCTTTCAAATATTGGAAAAATCGAATCTATATATTCAACGAGTTTTGCAGATATCTGCCTTAAAAAGATAAAAAAGCGGTATCCTATTTTATTCTTTATCACAATTAGAGCAAATTTCCACACAAATCATCTGAATTTAATCATTCTCTAGCTTAAGCGGAATTTCCTCGACCTTTTCTCGTTTTCCGACCACTGCGCGCCAGTTGCATAGCGTTGGCTTATCCTATGACGATGATGAAATGGGATGAATATTTAGGTCCCGCATCGAACGTGTTAACTTGTACCTACAAATCCTTGACGCTCCTTCGCGAATTCCTTACTTCCCAGTTCTCGTTCCTTTCTATGCCGTCGCGTGGGTGTGTCCTTATGTCGGCTCCACGATTCCTTCGGAGGACTGCACTAGAAAACGGCAAAGCACCGAGCCGACTGAGAGAGAGAGGCCAATTCTGTTGTTTATCCGCGGCTTTCCCCACTCATGGCAAGTGTTTTCACCGCTTTGGTCTTTGCTCGGTGTAGTGCCGGTCGAAGCATCGTCGAGTCAACGTGTCGTGGCTCGAATCTTGTTTAGTATATCTCCGGTGCTCTTATCTGTCCGAAGAGCTTCAATCATGTCACGGGTCGCGAGCTTCTCCGTAATTTGTTTCCTCGCGACAATCCTAATCGCGATCGCACATGCGAAGCCGACTATATACAAAAGAAACCACGACAATGTGTTCGAGCCAGGTAAGTTCTACTCCAAGTCTCCCTAATTCGAGGGAATTGTTCAATTCTCGATTAATCAAGTTTAAGGTAACGTTACTTAAACTCGTTACAACTTCTAATTATATTGATGTACGCCTTTGGGATTCGCAGTAGCTACTTACAATTTAATACAGTTTCAATTAGAAACATGGAGAAGAGAGAAATTGACTTGGTTCATTAAAATTTCATCTCACTAATTAAATCCATCTCTTATTCCTTTTTATTTCTAAAAGGGAATGCAAGGGTATTTGTTTTTCGTTCATTCACCGCGAGTTTTTAGCTCAAAGCATATTTATCTCGAAAACGGTCTGTCTGGTTGAAGAATTTTCCCATTTTTGAAGCTTTTTCTCTTTTCTCATGTTGGATACGTCGTGATAAAAACGCATCACATTTATTTGCATAGACACGATCTCTCTTTGTCCAAGGATTTTTATACTATTTGTGGGAAACATTGTTTAATGAATTGCAGATTTTATTCGGTTCGAATTTCTCTTGTTAATGCGAGGGCTTCCTGTTAGTTCAATTAAATGAATACCCAAGCGTGTCAGGAATTTCGGTTTCGCAGTTATGTTTGCATTTTAATAGAAATTCTGAAAATTACAAGAGAATTCGTTAAAAATCGAAAGTTTCGGTTTCTCTTCCTGCGATCTACACAGAGATCCAGGTCTTGGTCGTGTGCGAACATCTTGAAAAACTTTCACCTCGATGTTACGTTACCTCGTGCCCTTTTATTGGCTATAAATATCTTTTTTATTTTTGCGTTTGAATCGCGTTACATATGCTTGCACAGCTCGCGTCTTACGTGAATCTTGGCAAACAGGTGTCACCTATGATCTAACATGGGATGACTAATTCCTGCTGACTAGCTGGTTTACCTTATTAGTCAAACCGAGACCAACGAGGTGGATCACTGATACGCTAAGAACTTTTATGTAATGTAATATTAAAAAATGAAATCAACATACGAATTTCTTTTAGTAGTGTATAGTAGTATGTCTTTATTTCCCTTTCACGGGTTTTCTTTGGACTCCCACTCTTTCTACAAACTTTCTGTACGAATTTCTTTTATATTTTAAGTATTTATTTATTTATTTAAACCAGATAATCATAATGTAACCCGCGTTTAAAACCAATTATAATGTATCCCAAAAAAATTTCAATAACCAATACTTCATAGATCTGCATTATAGAAACAATATATTGAACCCGTGTGTATATATTTAATTATTAGGAGCGAGTAGTTTGGGAGAATAAAAATTGAGTGTTAATTGTTAGCGTGCAGCATCGTGTTTACGAGCGATCGAACTCTCGGTGCTATTAAGAAGCCGATAACTCGATATTACTCCAAACCTAATAACTGGGACCTTCCCTAATGACTATGTAACTCAATTTTCTTAACAGCCTAATAACTGAATGGTGTTAGCTTTGCCGCTCGCCCTTTTCAAATACATTCAACCCGCACGCACACTCGATAGCTCCGAATCTCTTTAATTTAATCGTTTCTTTCACAATGTATCACGTATCGATCAAAACCGAACCACGAAACTAATTTAAGAATCTATCTCAATAATCCCGAAGAAACATGTCTCGAATTTTATTCAAATTGCTTTATCAAATACAAAATTCATACTCTCTCTGTCCCATAATAATAGTAACGAAAGAAAATGAATATAGAACGCAACATTTATAAAACATTGATTTTGATTGAAGGTTTCGCAATTTTGTGCTACAACTCAACTTACAGCTACATTCGCCAATAATTCCTGTTTAAATATTCTAACGATATAAACGAATGATTAAGTGTTTTGTACGATTATCTTTAGTGATTCATTTATAACTTACATTATTTGATCCAATTGAGAATGAGAAGTTAAGAAGAACGTGATAAGGAAATGCGAAATGTGTACAAAGCTAGTGAATAGGACATCATAGTTCCTTGAATCGAAACCCACGCGGTTCGTTAACTGACGTCATCGTCCCGTTATTCCCACCTGTTAAACCTTGTCCCAAGGAAATTCAGATTTCGAGAGATCGCCCTTTATTTGGTCAACCGCATTCGCAAACCAGTAACTGCAAGTTGTTACATTTTTCTTTCGATTTGATAATATTTGAGCCGTTTATTTTGAAAGTGGCCTAAGTCCCATTGTGAAAGTTTCAAACAGATATGGAGTATATTATATGGTAAAATTTTATGAGATAAGACCTTTCGATTTTATTATTAAAGTAGTGGTGTCCGATTTGCTCAGATAATTATTGTTATTTTATTTCTTTCCAACGGAAGAAGGGTAAACTGGTTAAAAATACGGAGAATGTGATTTTTGAAAAGTGGATCACATAGAGTGTTCTATACAACATTAATGAATGAGCTTGCGCTATTTAAAACTCTAGACATACTATCACATCGAGGAAGACCAAGAAAATTTAATAATATTCAGTTGACACCAATTTATGAAAAAACGAGACCAATCGCAACGCTAAAATACAACGATTTAAGGAATTTATTACATGTACCACCGGCTCACCATAATTATTCTCCCGCAAACGCAAATTGACAACCAATGAATAATTAGTTGTAAAATATTGTTGTTTTTTCAATTTGAAACATTTTAAATTATGTTTAATGGACTTGCGCTCTTTCAAACTTTAGAACGAATCTGGTTCACTGTATGTGTTCAATATATTTTTGCCGAACTGTTTTTAGATCTGTATTAGTTATTGAAATCATTCGAATATGGCTAGGTTCGTTGATTTTCTGTTATCTCGTTCGAATTACTTTTTCACGAATGATTCCGCGGCACGTTCTCTCGCGCGTGTAACTTTATCGAGCATTAAAGCGTTGCGTTCTCGGGTTTCATCGCGCTTTAGAATTTTCCAGTTTACCGGACATCAGCCACCGCTTTGTGTATCTCGGACACACACTGTCTGAGATAATTTACCACAATCGCATAGAATTCAACAAATTTTCTTAATAAATAAATAGTTTAACGACAAATATTGTTGCTATTGTTTCAGTAATGGTACCAGTATCGTCCACGGTAATTCCTATTCCGGTGTACAAAGTACAATACAACTTGGGATTCGCATCGAAAGATAAAAAAGCTCAATCATCGTACAAGCCGGAGGAAGTAATTAAGCTGATAACGAGTGAGTGAAATTTATTATCCATCTTCTATACTTCCGGCAGAAGTAATAAACGTTTATATTTTTATTTACAGTTAAGAAGACCCAGGAGAAGAAGAAAACGTAGAAACCAAGGGAGGCGACTGGATAAACTTTTGTTCAATCGCATGATACAAGCTTTTCTCAATCGCCCTTTTGTATCGTATGATTTAATAAGTTTATTCCCTCGGGTCGTGTTTTACGCAGAAACATTACGCCAAAAATGAATTTACCTCGATTAACGCTAGTTAATTAACCCCGTCGTTATAAGCGCGTCGAATAAAATCAAATACCGCGAAGCCAAATTGTTACGATTACGAAAACAGAATACTTGTTAAGTTTTTTCGTTTTTATTTAATTTGAAATATATAGAGCGTTGTTTCTGATAACTTAGTGTACATTGATTAAGCGTTAAAGGGAATATGGAATCGGCGAGTAGGAAAATGATAAATCTTTATTGAACAACGTTCAAGTTTAAGCGCACTATTTATGTACTTGTCGTTACGATATCTCCATCGATTCTTCCGCTGGAACAGTGAGAGCACAAGGTTAGTACACGGTAAAAGAAAGCGAGATAAAAATATACTTACGCATTTCATTGAACATAAAATCATTCTGGTATTCCTTAAGGAACTGAGTCGACCTATTTTCGTCCAGGAACAACGAGTAAACGCGTTTCACGTCATCGATGCTCACCTAAAAAGTTCCATCGCTCTTTAGATCCCTCGTATCACGGATATGAATAAAATGAATATATTTCACTCACTTCCATGCTCTTCCTTCGTCGACTAACAAGGGAAGCTGTTGTGATCAATTGAATAGCGTATCTCAACGATGTCTCCAGCGCGATTCGGGTAAGAACAGTTAATGCGTCGTCTGCGATTTCGCAATCTTCTTCCTCACATCTTATTTTTAATATTTCTTTCAACTCTTTCTCCTGATACGGACTCGTTGGCACGATGATCATACGATCTAATAGATCTATCGGTATACCATGAGGGCTTTTATAATTCGTTCCTCTGATTCTTGTAATGCCTATAAAAACGATCGATTAATTTTGTATGAAATAAAATAATGAATGCGTACGATCGACAACACGCGTACCTCTGTTCGTAGCCATGATGACCACAGGTGCCATTTCGTTTTCGAGTGCACGATTCAGGAACGAGAAACATTCGATGTCGAGCATGTGGACTTCATCGATGAACAGAACCCCAGGCACGATCTCTGCTTTTCCCTCCTCGCGCCATTCGGCAACTTTCGCGTTTATTTGATCTCGTATCTCAGATTTAATTTCTCCTGTATCCCCGGAGAACAGTGCTAGGAATCCGTGCGTTCTACTATTTATTACGTCGACTTCATGCAGGGTCACAGTGTGCACGACTTCTTTGCGCTTTTGTAATTCTCCTTCGGGGCATTGTACGAAACGAGTCTGCGAGCCAGTGGCGTCGTAGTCCCGAGCTCTGGTAAACGATCTTCCCAGTTTGTTTATTTTCCCGGTAGCTTTGTCGATCGTTATCACGTCTCCGGCTTGTACCTTAAATTTCGAATTCATTCGTTAAGATTGAAACAGAGAAGTAACTAATACTGGCGGTCTAAAGATATAAAAAACTGCAATCCTGGTCGTATCTTATACTAACTTTTTCTTTCATCAAACTGTCGATCATTTTGTTTCCTAAATCATAGATCGTTTCCATCTCCGTCGTTTTCAACGTTAGTTTACCGACTTTGGCGCCGACACCCGTGGCTGGTCTGTCCACTTGAATCTCTACTACTTCTCCCTCAATAATTTCCGTTTCTTCCTTAATTCTAATACCTATCGACTTCCTAATAGCTTGAGTCAGAGCTTCTGTTTTGCTCATTTCCAAAGAATAGATCTCGGATCCTGCCATGGAAGTGAAAGGAGTATCCATTCCTAGAGCTTGTGCCATTCCCATCGCAATGGCAGTTTTGCCAGTGCCAGGTTGTCCTGCCAGCAAGATAGCTCTACCAGCTATCTTGCCATCCTTGATCATTTCCAGGACAACACCAGCAGCCTTGCGAGCCATAAGCTGACCAACCATGCCTTGGGATACCTACATTATACATAATTAATAAAACTAAAGAATGAATGAATGATCGTTCTTTCGTAAAACTGTTGTATCATTACATGTCGAGGTTCCAGGCAGTCATCTAGTCCCAAACCTCTAATGTGCGAATGAGCACCGATTCTCTCGATTCTCGTGGTTTCGCGAACTTCTTGTACTTTCGCAGCTGCGACAGCCTAGAGCAATCATGTCAGTATAGTATATCGTATTCAAAGAGTGTTATACCTCAAGCAACAGTTGCTATGACAACTTGTATTAATTAGAATCAATCAAGGAAAAATGTAGAAAGGCAAAATACGATTTGATCATAATTTTTATTATAAAAAATAAGATATATAAAGGCATTTCGGGCATCGTAAAAGTATTCGACCAAGCATGTTTCAGGTTAACCGGTAAAATCTGCGCAATAACCAACACGTGCGATTCTAATATGATTTATCAAGTTTACTTGAAGTAGATAATAATTAGGATTTCAATTTAGAATCAGAACTTACTGCCATGCCTGCTGTACGTTCCTCACGTGTGTTGTTATACAATTTCGATCAAAATAAAGCTGTTCTCTAAATGCTCTAAATACGACGATCAACAACGATACAACCACAATATACCATACCTTCCCGACCTGTATATAGTATATATCCGTTATCCCGCCCCTGTGTCAATTCCCAATATCCATGAACGTAGTGGACTAACGCAGACTGTATCGCCGCCTAGCCCAGTGCCCAGCCATCAAACAAGCCAGCTTTGCGATTGCAGTGACGCCAGTGACCAGACAATTGCAGACTGGTTGCAGGCTTTTACTTGTATATCAGGAAGTGGATGTACGATGTCTGAACAGTAAGAAATATTTTCTTCTTCATTTTGAAAAAACTTGCTCGTTTTAGTACAATTTTAAAATACCTAATACCCTAATTGTGCCTTCACTAACATTTTATAAGTCAATTTTGATTACTGGAACAGATCCAGGTTAGAGTTATTGTATCTATTACCATTTTGATTATCTCTTCTATCGTTCGTATTATATTGCCAATTTATTATTTATTCTTATCTTTATAATATCTTTATAATCCTTATAATAAACTAGAATACTTTTACTGAAAGCGATATTTCGTGGATATCGAAAATATTGTATATGTGTTTTAGAAACATTACCTCCAACGTATACAGTTCATCTATAGTCTCATTCTAATCATATTTTCTCATGCTTTATCAGCGATGATACTTTATTGGATGAAGATCTCGGAGATGAAGAGTATGATCTAGGGAATGACGAAGAAGAGGCTCTTTTAGCAGATGACTATGAACTGGAGAGGGTGAGCATATTGCTGGACCATTATATTGTTTCTAAATGAAAGTTAGTTCATACCATATAATTGGATTTAATACTAAATGCACATTGGAGACTTTGGCCAGACAATCATAGATTTTTTCGATTTTGTTTATTATGTTGCAATTACAGCATACAGAATCAGAACATTATGATACAAAGTACTCTAAAACTGACGCTAAATACTTCTTACCTACTAAGACTTTCTCTAATGAATCTTCTGAATTGTCTGTAAAGTAGACTCAATTAACATGGACAGACTCGACCACAATTTTGTGTTTTCCTATATCCCACGAATATTATATTTCAGCAAGCAACGAGAATCTTGTTTAGTTGTACCTCCTTTGATTTGAGTACAATAAGGAAACTTGAAATCATGATTTCGTGTAACACTTTTTTATTGTACAATCGTACGCTACGTTTGTTTGTTAAACTGTTCGCTGGAGTATCAGATAATAACGAGATACACGGACAAAATAGAATACGTTCCACTTAATTTTCACATGGTGAAAGGAAAACAGTTAACCGATTTTGTAAACGGTGTGTTTATTGTAAGAGATAGTGTACAAAATTCAGATATAATTGCGTGAAGATCACGAAATGTCTTCGTGTAAGCGGAAATTCTGTATTTTATATGAACAGATATTTGAATATCAACTTGTTGCCAATCTCTGAATCGCGAGGCTTTTAAATTTTGTTATATGAAGACTGTGAGACAAGAGATATGTAAATGGAAAATATATGTGTCCAATCAGAATCCGTACAGGGAAAATGAAAGCTAAATTAATTACAACGTATCTTCTAAATAGTGATCCTTTATTTCACTGTTAATTTTTATTTAATCCTTCCGAATAAGACCAGAGACCTAGGTAATAAGAATTTACGTTCCCATTTTACAATTCCTCGTTTTTAATTTACTCTATTTTATATGTTGGATATTTAAGATGACACGAACGAATGCTCTGCTGTATATTTCCTTTTCCCTGTAAAACGCAGCACACAGTTATCGATTATTGTAAACAAGATTAATGTTAACAATAGTTGAAGCAATAACATCACAGAAATTCATTGATTATTATTCTCTGCAAAAAAGGAACGTCCACTTAAATGATGATTTTATCAGAGTGTAATTGCTAATGCATGTACGTATTTAAATTATAATTGCTTCAAATAATATGCTCAGGTACAAAGATTTTTCTTATGGAGAACGTTTTAACGAAAGTTTCCACGTATATTAAATCTACCTAAATATTTCTGAAATTACAGTTTCACGGTGCTACCAAGTGTTCCTGGTTTCATAAAATAGAATTGTCTACTTTTTGTGTAAAACTAGAACTATTACTGATCAAAGTATTGGCGTGTCTCGTTCATTGAAACCTGCTTTCGTTAGAACATTCGAAAGAAATATCGAGTTAGAAATATTGTCGTTCCTTTGAACGATTGTAACAATACCGCACACGATTCTAAGGATTGTATCAGCCTGTACACCATTTAAAGTCATGTACCTGCCTTCATTCTCACGAAAGAAACAGTAGCATGAAATACATTCCAAACGTTTAAACGAATTCGGCAGGTCCTTCATAAAATTTTTAAGATGGAAACGTAGTATCGAAATTAAATGAAATGGAAACACTTGGATCGTGATATATCATGCTGCTGTGCCCCAGTAATTGTAATATATTGTAAAATATCTTTGGAGAAATTCTGTACTGTGAAGCACCGGATACACGCACCTAATATTAGTTTTGTTTAAATAGTAATATCTCATTGCCCCGATCGCCCGTTCGCCCACAACAATATTCAGTTGCATGAATTCGTAGCAACGAGACTGGCCGAAATATATGCATATGTATATATATATATATATATATATGTGTGCGATTAACACTTTCCGTACGAATTTCCTTCTTAGCAACTGACAAAATGATTAAGAATTACCTGGAAGTGTAAGATTATGCGAATAGAAATGTGTACACATTTTGCGTTTTAATTGTCAGAGGATACGTTAACTTTACGCGCTCGTAGACATATGTTAATTGATAAGAGTAGATTGTAACGACCATGGGTTAACTATCATGTTTTCATTACAAATATTTGGCAATTTAATTCCCTGAGCAGCAGAATAGCTATAAGGGAGAAGAGGAGACAGATGATGTACTGGACTTAGGAGTTACCGACGCTCTCGACGACTTAGACGCTGAAGATGAAAACATTGAATTTAGTAGGAGCAAAACGAATAGAAGCAATGAGAATGATTATTACGAGGACGGGGATCACCTAGAGGATCGGTCGAAATATTACGAGCAGGATGAGATTAACGAGTATAAGAGCGAGCTTCAGCGACAGCACGATGAGCGTTCTACATCCGATAGTGTTAATAATGCGAGTAATATCGAAAAGGGCGATCTGCGGGAGAAACTGCAGAAAAATGCGAAAATATATTCGGGTAACGGGCAAGGAATGGAAGACGATGAATGCGAAGAGGCCAAGGAAAGGAGGAACAGGTTTCAAAACGAGAGAATCATTGTCTCTTCGAAAATGAACAGCCACATACCGGATACTCTGGAGAGCGTGGTGACACCTGAACCATCCAAGCTGATGTCGTCCAGGGGCCGTGGAAGAGGTCGAAGCGCAAGAGGAAGCCGGGGAGGAAGATTCAATATGCAAAACTCTGGGAATTTCAACCCAAGGTACGTAAACGACATCGTTCACCTTTCGGTGTTACGATACACGCTTCAAATCTGTTATTTTTAACTCTCCCGAGTATCGTTATGCACTCGTTTTCAATACGTGATTTATTAGGTTCGGTAATACTCGGAACTTCGATAATCAACCACCGCCGGCTTGTAGGCCACCTTTGCTTGAGACGAGGCCACCTTTTCTTCTACCAAACAACATACAGAGCCAACAAATAATTTATCAGCAATCAAATTCTCAAGTACAGCCTTTCCAGCATTACTCTCCGAACGGTTCGCTCCAAGGTCCACCGCATTTTGTAGATAATAGACCTCAGTTCAATCCGAATCAGTTCCAAGGTCAACCGGGTCCTCGAATAGTCGGGCCGCGGTTAGATTACGGACCTCGTGGTGGCTTACCCGGACCGGCGTACAACCACGCGCCGAGTCAGCCGTCATACGTCCAAATTCAACAGCAACCGGCCGCGGCTACGGCCCCGTTTCAAAACTCGACCATGCTCATGCAAGATAATCAAGTTCCTCGATTGATGCAAAACAGTCAAGGTCCGTTGATACAAGGGAATCCCGGGGGATCGTTTATCGGGAATCCGAATTCGGTGGTACCTGGCGGTGCATCGGCACCGGTGCTACCAGGGAATCAACCGTTGCCGATGCAACCGTTCTCGCGACAAGCTTCGTCCCAAGGACCGCTGATCAATCATCCTAACGTAAATCAAATACCGAATCAGCCACCGTTCGAGAACAGGCCAACTTTTCAAGAAACGAGTCAATTCGAAAGTCGAACCGTTTACGACTCGAGGTCCGGCTACCCCGACCAAGTACCTACCAGCCAATTTAATACTAATTCGTTACCTGTTCCGCAACAATCCGCTTCCAATGTACCCAATGTACCTTTACCTCCAGGGCACAAGATATTAATCAATCCTCACTTTCGAGGAGCCGTTCAATCGTCAAACGATGGTAAGAATTTCTTAGCTATCAACTGTTTATTCTTTATTCTGTGTGCATTAATTAACTCCTTTTTCAATCGATGGACGTACAGCAAGACTCGCATGGGATTCCCCTCAACAAGCGCCCAATCCCCCTTCGCAAGGTCCTGCCGGTCAATTTTCCCAACCCGTTACCCCGTACCAGAATCAAACTTCGTATAATCAAACTCAACAAGGACCGTCGCATTATCAGCAAAATTATCAACCAAACAAAACCGATGTACGTATGCATATTCAGCGATTGCAAAGTCTCGAATACATTATAATTGTCTCGTGCTTCGCAGGATCCTTACGCATACTTTTCCGACGTATGGCAAGAGAATAAGCCTCAGAAGAGCCATTGCGGAACTATGAGTAAACAGTATCCTGTAGAAAGTAGTTACGCGCGAGATAGTAATTACGAGTCCAGTTCGAAATATAAATCGGATCAATGGGATCATAAAAGTAATTATTCACAGGTGGGTACCGCGATTAATCTGTTTATTAAAAATCTGTAGAATAATTTTGGTTAATATTCAACGATCGAACGTACGCAGGATCACAGAGGCGCCTATCAAAACTATCGCGACAGAGATTTGTCGTCAAAAACTAGGAACGAACACCCTCCGAAGAGCAGGACTCCTTCAACCACCACGTATCGTGATAGTTACGATCAAAACCATGTTCCAAAGTCCGGTAACAGATCGGCGAACATTTCGAGATCTAAGTTACCACAGAAAAGAGTCGTCGAGTCTGCGGATAGACCGTTAAGAGATTTGAGTCCAAAGCGACTAAAGCCCGCGACTAGAAACCTGCAAGAAGTACGAACAGTCGATACTTTAAGTAGTACGAGTGATGAGAAGAAGGTAAATACTGCTTTATTGCTTTCCAGTTGGATATTATGTACAGCCCCGATTAAAACGACGTTTGCAGGATGAAGAAATGCCGGAAGATCCAGAAATGCAGGAGTATAAAAAGAAGATGGAGGAGCAAAAGAGGCTCAGAGAAAAAATTTTGCGTGAGAAGGAAAATCGAAGAAAAATGGCTGCGATGGAGAAGCAGAACGAAGAAACTAAGAACGAGGGCATTTCGTGTAAGTACAATAATTGTATGACGCGACATTCTATTCTGTTTTGATTGAAATTTCAGAGTCTCTCTAAACCTGATTTACTGTGCAGGCGTTCTATAATTATGTGAATTATTTACAGTAAGTGAAAATATACAGGACGCCAAACCCGTATCGGTACTTATGGGAGTAGTGAAAGATGTTTCCGCGAACAAAGCACAAGCTGCTGTTGGAAGAGGACGCGGTCGTCCTATCAGTGCGCAATGTACAGAGGTACACGACTAAAGATGTCATTCTTTCTTAATTGTACATATACGATTTTTATTTTTTATAATGCATTTTTGTAAAATAGCAAGATGAACGATCGTATTTTTACAAGTAGTTTAAATGCAAATGAATTGCATGTTGTACATACAATCAGGTGTTTAACCGTTTGTAAAACGTATTCATCTCTTGAATAAATTTGTACATAAATGTTATATGGATAAACGCAATTGTTGCGTGAATCATTTTTCTCTGTTGAAGTTTTCTGTACATATATTTATATATATTCTCTATCCGTTACCTAATAAAATATGTTTTTAAATATTTCTGTTTTTTTTTTTCTTTTTAATGATCCTCTAAACTTTCATTTCAATAAAAATTGATAGACATCGAGATTTCAATTAATGAAACGAAGTGTCCATTAGGTTCATTTAACTTTACAAGATCGTAATATTTCACTGATTGTCTGTTCTAGGAGAAACAATCGTGTGTTCGAATTGTTAGGACGATACAAACTAGTGTCCCTGATTCTCTACAGGAGAGCAATTCTGGACACGCAACCGGTCAGATGAATTGCCAGTCTGGAGCACGAAGAGTCGTGATCCAAAAACCACTGTCGAACACACAGAAAGTTGTGAAGGCTCAACTACTGACACAGAAAACTGGTCAACCCGACGCAGTGAGGAAAGTGGTGCACACCGGGCAAAAGATGAACACTGGCTCACAGAGAATCGTAATAGCGAAATCAGCTAGCAATCTCCAGAAAACTGTAATTAACGTGCAAGAGATATCGAGCACCAGTGGACAGAAGATCGTCTCTAATCCGCAGAGGGTTGTACTGCAAAAAGCACCGACACAGCAGAAGAAAGTACCGGAAATAAAAACGAACACGGTGAGAGTGGAGAATTTAGCAGCCAGCACGTCCGAGGCTCAGATTAGACGCATGTGTCAAGGCATCGGTACAATCGAGGTGATTATCTTTTCATGGAAACACATTTTGATCTAGTTTTCTTCTACTATCTTTCCCATTAATAAACGATATTTTTGCTTAATTTATTAATTATTTGTTTGTATTATAGAGCATACAAATGGGTGAACGTAGCGCGACAATCGTGTTTAAAACGCAGTCTGCTGCTATGGTATTTCACAAAAAGTATCAGCGTAAAATGATAGATCTATCACTGATAACCGTTCGCCTTGTACCGCCAACCGGTGGGACTAAGACTACGGCTGCAAAGGTTTCTTAAAGGATATATAGAATACGATCTACGTACCATATTTCGATGAAGGAAAGAACGATCGGAAATATAGATATAATTACATATAAGAGTAATCGTATTAAAATCGTATTAAAGTAGACTGTGTATGAGTTGAGCACGTACTTCATATTTTACATAATTTTTGTTCGAAATCCTTTAGAGACTAAACAGAGGAAAGTGAAGTATTTTTGGCTGCGAATGAATTGTATAATACGCACCTTCGTAAAGGAAGGTAGAAATCAATTTAACTTGTACATACAATATGTTGAATGCAATGTAAGTTTCATATAAAAATATACACAATAGATTTACTATGCCTATATTATTTCTGTACATTTAATATACCTGTTAAAAATTATACTAATGGTAAATAAACTAACCTGCTTCGAAATGATGTGACTTTTTTATTCTGTTTTTCTTATTCTTATTTACGAACTAATTGAAGCCTGAGTTTCACCATTCCTCAATCCGCAGCGCTGCGATCGAGATTTCTCAAAGCTGACAACGACAACACTGAACGAGAAACGAGTTTTGTGGTGTTTGTTTACGTATGAATTGGGAAAGAATTTTAAATAAGTATCGAAGAGAATAAAATTCAGAAATGGATTTCCAAAATCGTCCAGGAGGAAAGACCGGAGGCGGAGGCGTCGCTTCTTGGTCGGAAAGTAATCGAGACAGAAGGGAACGTCTACGACAACTCGCGTTAGAAACGATCGATCTAAACAAAGATCCGTATTTTATGAAAAATCATTTGGGCTCTTACGAATGTAAATTATGTTTGACTCTCCATAATAACGAGGGCAGTTATTTAGCCCATACCCAGGGTAAAAAGCATCAAGCTAACCTAGCTAGGAGAGCCGCGAAAGAAGCGAAGGAAGCTCCTCAGACGCTTGCACCCGAGAAACCTCGTGTAGAGCCAAAGAAATTCGTGAAAATCGGACGACCGGGTTACAGAGTGACGAAGCAACGTGACCCGGAATCGGGACAACAGAGTTTACTGTTCCAAGTCGATTATCCAGAGGTTGCGGACAATGTTATCCCAAGGCACAGGTTTATGTCGGCGTACGAACAGAGAGTCGAACCGCCAGATCGCAAGTGGCAGTACTTGTTATTTGCCGCAGAGCCCTATGAGACTATAGCTTTTAAAGTAAGTTGACTTACAGTAAACTACAAGCACAAATAGTTTTAGACTTCTAGCAAAAATTTGATGAAACTTCAGGTTCCCAGTAGAGAAGTCGAGAAAGCAGAAGGGAAATTCTGGACACATTGGAATAAGGATACAAAGCAGTTCTTTTTGCAATTCGCATTTAAAAACGAGAAACCTTCAGTGGGCAAAGTGCCACCACCTCCAGTTCCTCTGATAAGACCAGGATTGGGTCCACCTATGGTACCAGTTCCACCACCGCCAAGGCCACCTATGTTTAATCCAGTACCACCACCTCCGGCACTTTTGGCGACAGGGATGCAGATACCTCCACCACCACCTCACATAGCATAATTTCATTGTAAAAATATATTGCTGTGTATTTCATTCTTTTAATAAAATTGCTTTATAAATTATACAATTGAGACGGTGTTGTACGCATACAAAAAAAGAAACGGAACAGTTAAATGGTTTTTCCTTTTTTTGTTGTTTAAGTTTTATTAATATAAACATGTTGAAATGTACAGCAGGTTCATTTGTCAAGGGTCTGTCTCCTAAAACAAGAATTAAATACTCATTACATCTAATAGAGTTAATTATAATAATAGAAATGCAGTTTATTATCTTCGATTGTATCAGGTAGAACAATCTACATGGTGTTTAGTGTTGTACGCACTTTTCTGACCGCCCGTTCATAATATCATCATTTGTATATATCGTTTATGTGAAATGATTAACTTCAACTGTAAATAACAATGTAAGTACCTGAACTTTCAAGCAGAGAGGACACAAACTCCACCAACAGCTTTGACTTTGTCCTCGGCCAGTTTACTGAAAAATTTAGCCTTAACGATGACTGGTTGTTTGGGAAGTCGTCCTTTTCCCAGGAGCTTGTAGTATCCCTATAAAATTAGATATAATATCAAGTATGTGCATATCTCACACGATTCTAACAGAATTTACTCTGATAAACTTACGGCTTTAACAAGATCGATCACAGGAACCTTTTTCGTTTCTGAATTCTTGTATTTAAGCCTAGTCTGTTCAGAAACTAATGTCCATAGTTTATCCAAATTTAAGGTGGGACACCATTTAGTGTTACGTCTTAAATGGTAATTCCTCATACCAAGCTGTAAATAAAATGGTAAAATTTATAAAGCGCTATTTAGAAACAACAAGGACTTGATAGTTATAAATGCTATCAGTGTGTGAAGTACATTCAAAGGAATTCAGTTCGCCGGTGAAATAGAAATTATCATCATAAGACACATGGTTATATTTGCATGCAAAAATTGTGTGAAATTTACCTTTCCAAAGTAACCAGGATGGTACTTGTCAAAGTTGATACGGTGATGATGTAAGCCACCAGCATTACCGCGACCACCAGGATGTTTCCTGTGTTTACCTAGGAAGCAATGTTATTTTATTATTTTCCTGTTCAAATGAAGTTTCATATCTTTTGTAAAAAATTGTACCTATGCGTCCGTGGCCGTGGCTCACATGACCACGAAGCTTCCTTGTCTTCTTCTTATGTGTAGACTGGAAAGCAACAACAAGAAAGTTATAAAATATAAAAGAACTTGAGCATTTTCGTACACGTAGGTTATGGCCTTAATGTGAAACGAGAATACCAGCATGCACGGTCAGTGTCTAATAATTTATTTCGGGAACGAAATATTCGTTTTACACTAAAATTTATTTGGCCTTCATCGAGATTTTAATGATTATCATTTCATTTATTCGCGGATGTTGTTAACAATCGAAGATTAGAAAAGAATAACTGTAGCATCGTGAACTCACCATCTTAGCCGCGACGCAAAGAACGAAGACCACTCGTTCTTGTTTCCATGAGTTGGTTTAATGATAGATGGCGTCAGAGTCGCCTGAGTGTTCGTCAGATTCATCATTTCGATAGAATTTATGAATACCGAATAAGATTTTCAAAAGTATAAGAAAGTTATCCAAATTCCGCATGAAACATTAAATTTCAATTTTTTATATAATATGAATTTCAAATATATTTACGGCATGTTTATGACGGGAATACTATTTCCTTTAACCAGAGGGTAAAAACGTCGTCAAGGAGCTCATTGAAAAGACAAAAATTTAATCTGGCGTGCTTTTATTTTGATCTTATTCAAAATGGTCTGTTTTGGATAAATTGCTTATAAACGTAGACATCGTAATTACGATTGATTTATTTTGTAACGCAGATTTAGTTTTTCTCTTTCCATGGAGGTATATGCCATATCCGATAATTTAAATCTCTGCTTATCAAAATTTTCTGATCTTTCATTTAATTAGGCACAGAGAAATGCTTTTCGATTTTACAACTATGGAAAGTGCAGATGATTGGAAAGAGATATCGGACACTGTTAGAACAGTGGGGAAGTCGAAAGCAATTTTAACATTGCAAACGACGCAAGTTTTCCAACGTGCAATACTTTTTACGCTTCTGAACCCACAACCAAACGGTGCTGGTTTTGCAGGGGTACGAACAATGACAAATTTAGACTTATCAAATTTTGAAAATATTGAAATTAATTGCCGAGGGCAAGGCAGTAACAGTCACTACAAAGTTGTTCTTAGACACAAAGGACAACATTCAAACAGGGATATAACATACGAACAATTTTTTATGGTAAATAATATGTAATTTCATTTACAATGTTCAAATAATGGTGTAATGTATTTCAAAGTATTAATTTAAGTAATAAATAAATATTAATGAATTACATTAAACTATGTTAGGTACCAATGTCGAGCAGTAACTTTTCAACAGTGGCATTGCCTTTGGCAAATTTTAAACCGTATTATCGTGGACATGAAGAACCTGATGCAGAACATTTAGATACTGCAAGCATTACCATGTTCGGTTTACAAGTATACGGTGGAGTTTATTTACCAATTAAACAGAAGGGTGTATCAGCATTAGAATTACAAAATATTTCTGCATCGTAGTTGTAACGTTACAATGTAAATGCAAATGGTTAGAGAGATATTGTCTCACTACATTTTATAAACATATAAACAGTTAAGGTAAAGTCTGTCCATTAAAAGTGAATACCAAAAGATGTAAGATTTACAAGACACGTATAAATGTAACAAATTTGTAAAGCTATTTGACACAGAAATATGCTCTTCCATTAAATCTCAGTAGTATCTTTCATGCTATACCGCAAATTATCGATAGTTTTTTATACAAACAATTGACGAACATGCTTAAATTGTTTTTAAAACTATTGCTGATAGGAAAATGATAATGTATGTTACCGAGGAGTTCCAAGAACTCTTCCAAATTCTGAACCTACCAATCGTTTAAATAACTTTCCTCAAGGGTATTGTATGACATAAGATCGTGATTGAGTCTGTAACAAAAGACAAATAATTTATATCGCACATCTGCACACTACATAAATCAATCTACTTACGTTTTAAATGCGTCGACTATATCTTGTACTTTAGATGGATGGCAAACGATAGTTGTTTTACATTCTTTTGGATCAAACAATGGTTTTAGATACTGAGATGCTATACGACCCATATCCTCGATTGTTACTTCGGATATGCGTTGCACCATTTGCTGAGTATAATCATGAGGTACATTCTTGAAGTAGGACAACAGTGATTGTAAAACCAAGTCACCCACACTTTGCTCCTTTTCAATGATCTCAAATATTAAACATGACTTCGCCGAATCAAAGAGTAATTTTTCCCATTTATTTTCAAAAATATGAGCTTCCTATAATAATATATAGAATTAACGATGTAGATCTCATTTTATGAACTTTGTGCATTTTTCTGAAAATAATTGAAATATGCATATATATGTCTATTATAAACTTACTACGATCGATTTTGCTTCCTTATATGCTGCTATAATATTCGTAGATTTATAGAATGTTAAATACAGCAATCCTTCACTGAGTTTGGGATAAATATCATATCCATAAGACAGACCTTGTCCTCGGATAAGTCTCCACATAGGACCCTTAAAAATTAAATATTTTTAGATAATCGTTAGTATAAATAAATACAGAGTTCATCTTTACGTACCTCTAATTGAGTTAAATATTTTAGACAAACTAGCAAGGGAGCTAAATCTGGACTTTGATAATCGTTTACACAAGGACAGGTCTGTCGTAAGTACGAAGATTCTATGCTACCTAAGCCCGTAACACAACCTTTGGATGGAATTTCATCCATAGCATTTAATAACGCTGCGTCAGGAATGGCTTCAAGTCTGTAGAATAAAACCATAGTTTGACGATCCATGTGATAATATAAGTAGATTTCAAATTACTTACTTAGTTTTACTAGCCGTATCGAATGTAGAGAAATGAGTGTTCCACGCGCTATAAATATTTGGTACTTGAGCAGTTAATTTATCCACGTTAGCAGCCACGTACAACACTACATTCTTAGGCGACGTTATTAGCTCTCGAACAGATTCGATTTCAGACAAAACTTCCTTTTGTCCAGTTTCATCGTTCAAACGTTCCAAAAGATTATTAAGAAACTTCTGTTGCCGCAACATACTCGATGTGAAAACGTTGCTATCTGAAAGAATCTCAGTTATATTATGAAACTTCATAATATTTAATTCTCCTTTACCTTTATTATAAAGTAGTCCTTTCATCAACTCGATCACGACACCATTTCCTCTCCTTTTAGCTTGAGCGACATCGTTCACCATCTTTGCAGCTATTATTTTTAATCTGTCTGGAGTTAGTTTAGATTCATATAAAAGTTCTTTAATCCACTGCACGCCGTTATCATATTTTTCTATCTCAAGCTAAACAAATAATTGTTTGAAGTCATTAGAAAATCATATTGTAAAGTGTAGCGTGAAGGATACGTACTCGGAGCGATAGAATGGCACAGTAATTGTATGATCCACATGTGAATTTTGAGGAATAAGCTTCGATTCCTATGCTAGTATCATTCTGTATGGTATCTGCTTCTAATTCAGCTACAACATCCTCGTATGAAATGAGTTCGCCATTTCGGAATACCGGGGATTGCCCGATTGTTTCCAACAGCAAACGAATGTAAGGTTTATACTCTCTTTTAACGTTTGACGTATTCATAATAACCGACATCTAAAAATAGAATGTACTTTCAAATGTAGAACATTGATTGAAACGTGAATAAGTAACGAACGTGTAAACATACATAAACGAAATTTGTATTAACATGATCCAAGTACGTATAAAATGGCAGTTTTGAAACATCAAATCTGGAATGCTGTTTACTGGTTTCAGTTGTATAACTTTTAATGTAGTGGAAATTAAGAAGATGCGTCGAAGGTATGGGAACCGAACTTAAAACTTCATCGGGTACTGGTACCTAAAAATACATAACTTTAAAATACAACTCTGAAAAAGGTATTGGAAATCATGTATATGACATATACGCGAAATTACGTACATCATTCTTAGCGATCGCTTCTTGCAAATCTTTCTCTTTTTGCTGAAGACCATCTTTACCTAAATCTTCAATTTGCTTGACAATACGATTTTTCTCTTTCTCACTTAACTCCTGTCTTTTCTCCAAACTGGGAATGCCTTTGACCATTACGAACGGAGAATCGAGGAAATACATTTTTAATAAATTTAACCAGTAGGACTCGGGCTCGGTCTTCAATTTCTTCAGATCTTCCACTTGATTAGTTCTTTGGTCCAACTGAAATTTAAAAAATAAATTACAATACAATAGAATGTTCCTGAATCAAAGTACTTTCTGACAGTGGAATGCTTACATCTTCTTTAGTGTGGCCGTAAAGCGCGTAGCCGAAAAGCATGTTGGCGATTGTATCATGAGGTTCGTTTTCTAAACTACTTAACGTTTCCAGGATACGTCTATGAACAACCGTCTTCATTCGTTTCATGTTAATGCCGTTTTTGTGTACATTATTTAATACTTGAAGCAGTTGATCTTTTATTAGTGGAATTTTCGATTTTGGCACGCATTGAAATGCCAAATATAATATAGATACCGAGTATTCCGTATGCGTATGATGAACGTCACTAGCATACGCATCATCGATTTCGACAAATTCTTTTTGCAATGGACTAACCGACGTATCTGAGAGGTATTTCAGGAGCAAAGTACAACCGTTAAGATCGTAGATCTCTTTAACAGCGGATGGTCCCCGCCAAGCAATTTGAACAATTCCATTGTCTTCATCATCGCAAGGATAATACACGTCTAAATCTATACTTTCAGTTAGAGGCGGTACTGGATCTTGCCAAGGCCTTTTAAAGAAGCCTCTTCTTCCCTAAAATAATTTTATGATCTTCACTATGATAGGGAAACCGTAAAAGACGTAAATGCAAACATTCTATACGTACTTTCGATACTATTTTGTGTTCTATAGCCTGCAATGCTTTGAACACGTCGGCATGCTTTACTTGGCCAGTGATTATAATCGTCATATTCTCTGGTCTATAAAACTGTTGATGGTATTTTTTTACTTTCTCATTAGTAGTACTTTCTCTTAGATTTTTTAACGCTCCTGCAGCAGAAAATTTGTACTTTTTAATAACATTACATTTGACGTCTGGTTTAAAGATGTTCAAATTCGTACTACACTTAAGTACCTCCAGTGATAGATTTGTAGCCACATTTGCCAGGGAAAATTGCTCTAGATAATTCTACGTAAACCAAATATTCTCCTTCATTTTCTTTCCCTTGCATCTCGCAATAGACCACACCCGCATCTTCACCTTCGCCAGTGATGTGATGTACTTCAGTCAGAAAGCCTGAATCCTAAAATAATAATTTCACACGTAAGATATGTTGGGAAATTTAGAGATTCTATATCGTTTATGATACTTTCTGTGGGCATTGCATACCGTAAGTGTTGGATAAAGAATGTGATCAAGATATATAGGCATTAAAGATAAAAATCCTTCGCTGCCAGCAGTTGTCATAGTGTAAAAGGTGCAATCGACTTGTGTAGCAGCATTGGTGCCAGATGCTAAACATCTATTAGCCAGCAAATCTAAAACACCCTTATATGGATAGTCTTCACTTCCAAGGAAGATAAGATGCTCCAACGTGTGAGGTAGTCCATCGTCGTCGTGTGCTTCAGTAGCTGTAATTGATAAACACAATACACGATAAGCGTACAAGATAGTAATTGAATAAGCATTACGTTTAATGGAAATGTAAGGAATGCAAAAGTAAAAGAGATTACCGAGGCAGAAGAAGCCGTTTACAACCGGTCCTTCGACATCTGCTATGCAAACCGTAATTCCAGTGTCTCTAGATTTATAAATGTGCAGCGGTATCGTATCGTTTGCTTTAATTGAATATGTAAAATCAAATGCTCCCATGTTTTCTCTTGGCGAATTGTCTATCGGCGCCATGTTGCGTCAAATATGAAATTTCTGCTAACTGCCAAACTTGTTGGAAGATATAATATTGACGTTTTGATATGTAGATTATCATAAAAAAGACAATCGACAAATTGGTCGGATTACCAAGAGAGCATCGATGAACAAGGATATATGTTTGAATTATTGCTTTTACTTTATATATAATAAGAGTAAAATATATTTTCTACTGTAATCAATTTCAATGTAATTTAATATACTTAAATATTTTCTCTTTGGTACGAGTCTGTCTGTCCTGTTTAGTTCCAGAATTGATAGTACAGTACTTATCACAGACGAGATATAGATGCGGTAGGTCAAGCAAGAGTCGCTCGAAGCTCGAACGAGCAACGGCTTGAACAAATTATAAATTGCATTTTATTTTGTATTAGTTAGAATATTATGTGCATCTTGCACTTTGTTATGATGTATAATAAATTGAAGAATTGTACAGCCAAAAGTGACGGACGTAACTTTAAATTTCGATGGTCATGAAGACGAGCACGATCGCTCTTGAATCCTCGAATCCCCCCGCGCCTTCCCAAGGCCAAATTCAAGGAGCGATCTCCGATCACCCTTCGCACCCTCCTGCATGGTTACGGTAACTAAGCAACCCGAGGTGAATGAGAATTGCAGTGTATTTATACGCAGAATATATATTTAATGCATTTAAAAAATGTTTTTATTATCAAAACTATAATTAAAATCTATAAACTATATCTTTCTTTTATTTTTGTATCCTAAATTTATTTGATGAGCAAATCGCAGTTATAGCATGGTATCCTTCGTTTGTTAGGTTTGATTGATCTGGAAAAGAACCCACATGAAAATATGTCAAAGACTGGTATCTTTACAATTAAAAGGACTTTACCTAATGGATATATATTTGTTGGAAAGATAGGTGAATGACTATAATACCGAATTGTTGTCAATTTTGACAATTGAGATTGAGATGAAAGTGAAATTCTTCGTGTATTTGGCATCCTGAAAAGAGCACAACGTCGCAGCAACATGAGAATAATATAGCTTGTAAGATATTAAACTTACTCTTTATTTAAATTGTCAACTGCTGTGATAGGAAGAGAAGCTGTCAAAGTATAAATTCTATTCTTATGTAAATCCTGATGATCTTTTAGAGGCGATTTCTCACCAACATACTGTTTAAAAGCACAATAAAATAAAGCTCTTAGATCATCGTTGGAACATTCCAAATTATCTTGTAACAGTAACATGAATTCCAAGCATATATGAATTTGTGCCAAATATATCAATTTATTCCTAAAAATATTTGATATATAAATTGTTATGTTATTAGGGATCGAGTACAAAAAGTTTGTTGTATATGTACCGATAAGTATCGACACTAAATTCATTACAAGTCATATTTTTCAATTCCTTCTGGATATTGTGCAGTTCACCAAATCTTGTACTGATTAGAACGTACATATAATCCTTACACAATTTTTCAAAACCCATATCTATAACATACTCTAACGGTAAACTGCCAGATAATAAATTTGAAATGATGTTTTCTTGATGTTGATTGGCAATCATCTTAGCAAATCTCGTTGAATTGGTAAAATTAATCTAACGTAATCAATAGTATGATTAAAAACGTTTTCATACATGTTACAAAAATAATTGTATATAATACCTGTGGTAAGTATCCGTTCATTATAATATTCTCAAATACTGTGTGCATACATTCTATCATTTCAAAATAACTTGAATTCTCTGTAAGAATTAATATTATTATCGTATCCAAATGTATAGTAGATTTATCACATTAAAAGAACTTACTTATAAGTAATTCCCATAAAAAATCTGTAAAATCTAAATTGCTCCTGAATGGAAGATTCTCTATGTACTGGTAAATTCTTATATCAGTATCTACTTCTTCTCCATTTAAAAAATGTTCGTTTGATCCCTTTTTCTCTCGATAACCGTAATCTCCATTCAATAAGAGATTTATATTGTTCAGTACATTATCATGATCCTATTTTAAATGACTATCAGGAATTTATCGTTAAATATCATGAACATAAAAAGGTAAGAAAATACCTCCTTGTACGGACTAATAAAGTCCTTCGAAAATTCCAAAGGTTTCGAAGAATGTCGAAAATGTGCATTTTTTCTGTAATTTTCTATTATATCGAGGTATTGATTCAGCATCAGTAATTGTTTCCATAATTCGCTCAAACCATTCTTATCTGAATTAGTAACAACTTGGACAACCTGGGCAGAACATGTAAACGTCAAGAACCAATGCATTCATTTATACAGTTTGCAGTGATTAATTAATGTTACCAAATTATTTTTAGATGAGCTTGTAGGTGAGTGCAACGATAAAGTACAAGTATCTACTTCTACACTTAGACTTCCTTGAAAGTTGTTTTCCTTATTATCATTCCACTCAAACGTTTCTTCTTTTGTTCCAAATAAATTAAAAGTGTTGAACGCAGAGATATTAATCTGGATACACAAATCAATTATTATAAGTACATGTATACAGAGAGATCAAGGAAACATGATACTTGCATCTTGTTCACATGCATGTGAAAGTTCCAAATGTTGTTGAAAGAAGTTTGAAGATTTTTTGACGTTTTCAATGGTTTCAATACCATCCGAATAAACTTCTATTGTCGTAAACCATTCTCCTTCAATTATCGTGCCCAACAGTCTACTTCTCTTTTTATCCTTCTCATCGCAGAGTGCAAATATTGGAGGGAATGTGTTGTTTAAAAATCGAATGCATTCATTCAAAGCAGCACTAAAACATAATAGATATTCTGTCACCGCTATTATTTAATCATACGTGTTACAGCAATTTTATATAAGTTTAATGGTTTACCAAGCTTCTGTTCTGCTCAATGGTAAATATTTTTCTTCATCTTTACACCAATTCTGTTTTAATAAAGTTACTGTACTGTCATCGAAATCGACTTCTCCAAACGAATATTTCAAAGGAGATCCAGTGAGATCAAGTTCTGAAACAATTGAATAAAGTATGCAACACAAGTATTTAAAAAATTTAATGGCTTACGTAAAAAACTTACGACTCGTTTCATCGTTTGCAGTATATATAAATTGATCACTAGGAGAATCGCAGAGCTATTAAAATAAGGAAAGAAATGCAGTTAAATATTTAGCAAAACCTGTCGAAATTTTGTGTAACGTATTTACATGTGTTTCCTTGTGTAAAATAATGCAGGGTGTATTTTTTAATTCTGGAAAGATTCGATTCACGTACGACAAACGAAAATTACTGATTTTTATGGACGGATCTAAAATGTGTTTTAATTCTTCGTATTTCAGCAGCATGTTCGATAAATTATTATGTACTTGTGCGATTTAATTCCGTATTTCAACTTGTTTCAACTTCAACTGAAAGTAACAGAACGACAACAGTTTTCATCAAAATATATTTTACCCTGCTAATTTGTATGTTTGTGGGATTTTTTGGCACTAGCCAATGACGTCACAGCTAGGGATATCGCGTTTTGCTATCTGCCCGTACGGGCAAAGGCTGAGCAGCTCTGCTCTAGAGGATCACTACCAAGAACGGTATAATTTTGAATTTTCGCGCGGTCACGTGACTGCGGTGGCGTTGCGAGTTACGAATGTTGCAAGTACAGTTTCAAGTAGCTTCTTTGATTAATTTTCAATTAGTGTTGTAAGAATGATGAAATTTTGTGTTGTGTAATTAGAGTTGTGTAAAATCAAGAGCCCAAGTATTTGATTAATACGGTGAAAGTGTTCCTGCATCGTCGATGGTAACACCAAAATAAGGAGCATGAAGAACAAGAAGAGCGTCGAAGAAACAGGTATTTAGACATTTCTTCCCTTAAAGCTTGCGATTAAGTATCGCGTACCCTTTTTTTTTAAAAGCATTGATACGTTAAGTGTATCGTTATCCAAAGGAAGGAAAAGTGAAAATATGTGGAAATGATCGTGTAATTTCAGGAAGGGCTTCTCAAACTTCTTTGAAAGATTTTTCAACATCTTTAAAGCGCAGAAGATACGAATGAGAAGTGTATCGTTAGAACGGCGTTTCATAGAGGTAAGCATTTTAAAAAAGAGACGTTAATGGTGATCGTAGATACTTAGGGTAAAAAAGTATTCGAGACACACGATCGCGGAAAAGTTTTCTAAATTCAACTGCGAAATTAGTGTCAAGCTAATTTCGCAAGGTACCCTGGGCACAGGCAGAGAAGCCAGTAAAAAGATTGGCCAAGGTGGATGCCCGTGGCTCGCGTGATACCTCATACCGACTTCGCGTGTCGAAGTCTGATTTGCTTTGTCGAGTCAAGTGTATACCGGTGGCTATATCGCGTATAAAACCGAATGAGATAGTGTATTTTCCTTTCCTTTATATCCTGTTACCTACTCCGACTTCGTTATGTTCGTCAACAATTAGATTCCCGATAAAACGTCTGTCAGTCTTGCGGTATTTTAAGCTCGATATTAAACCAATTCTCCCATTATGTAATTAGAGTCTTACTTGGGTTATTAAATGAGACGTATGAGGTCCTAATTTTGATACCACGATGGTATTACGAGATATCGTAAGATGAATATATCCCCGCAATGCCTTCTGAGGCTGAAGTTGATTATGCGGTAGACAGTGTTATAGGGATCCGTTATTGGTTTTTTAGTTGAATTATAAGGATCGAATACGTATTATTCTACTAATACAGGTATCGAGATTTTGGCACCGTAGTAGCAAACAATTAAATGTCTATATTGGTTCTCGGGAAAAGTAGATTTCCCTGCGTCGCGTCGTTACATCGCCGATCGTATTGTATGCCGGGTAGTTTGGTTGGTTCGCGCGGACCGTGCATGTTTACCAGATAAGTGGAAAGCCGGTGACAGGTCAAACTTTTGGTGGATTTACGGAATCTCGAATTCGTAGTGGCGTAAGCGGATCACCGGCTTCTCTAGTCAAACGAGTAAAGGTCAGGCTTGTCCGGTTTTCGGGACCGGGAGAGGGTAGGAAGTGTTGAATCCTCTGTATAGATCAAAGTAGGAGGACAGGGAGCGGATGGCCGGTAGGAGAAAGTGTGCGGGTTCACGAAGGGTTGAAAGAGGATAGAAGTAATCTCGCATTTGCCGCAGACTCGACTGATGAACCACCTGGTGGACGTACACCGGTCCTGAGAGCTGGAAAGCAAAGTTACAACAACGCGTCTCGTTTCATCTCTCTCACTCAGTACATTACATACCTCGTCCTCGTTTACGATGTTCCCTTCATACTTCCTAATGCTTTTAACCAACGAGCTGCAGTCAACGCGCTGTATTCTGAGCACTGAGTTACAGTTCATTTTTGAAAATTTCATTAACGCGACACGCGTGCGTAGCTGTTCCTCGACGTACGTTCCGTGTTTGCTGCAGTACGATCTTATTTATGAGTTTAATCAACATTTTAAATGTTATACTCTAGTGTACAGATTTTTTTATCCAAAGTTTCAAGTCGATCATAAATCGTTATAGTATTTGCATTTATATTTACTTCGAATCTAATGGGACTGAATCGAGTCGAGTACGCGGCAATGAACGAGAGGTGGAGAGCATGCGGAGAAGTTCGTCGACGCTAATTCCCCGATCAGGCGGGACTCGTGCGTTGAACGTAGTTTACCTAAAGGTTCGGTAAAATCAATACTTCGGTAAGTTTCTTGATACGAGAGGTCCGTCAACGCGATATTATCGTCCGTTTGAATACTAATTTCCACGGTATGCTAGTGCGCCAGACACAAAGGTGTGATTCTTTTTTACGACGTTATCGCGACGATACGATGTACTTTTTGCGTGTATCAGAGATTAATGAAAGCGTGAGGAGGAGAAGCATGACGAATTTTTGATTAATAGCGCATCAGATTCAAACACTCGACTAAATGTTCCAGTAAATGCGTACACGTCGTTTCGTGAACACGGAACAATGAACATCGTTCTTCCTGAAAGCTTAACAATAAACATAAATGAATTATGGTTTCTTTGGGTAACACGGTATCTACATACATCGGAGCTAGTATAGGGTGTATTCATATTTAGATAATATCTTAATAATTCAGCTGCGAAACGTACTTCACATATTTGCATTTTGGTGATATTACGTCGGGGGATGGTAATTATGCTTGCCATGTTCTACGAAGGGAAAGCATATTTTACGCCTACCTTACATTCCTGCGAACATGCTGAATAATTGTGAGAGCATACATATACAGCGTTTTCTACATATTTTGAAACTGAAAAAGGCATAACTAAAATATCAAGGTATTGAGATTCTCGTTCGTTTCGTGTCACACACAATATTTCTAAGATTTCAATATCATACAAGACGCTTCGTCGATACAATTTTTTTATTCTTATTAAAAGAACGTGTGACGTATTTTATAATTCTTTTTACAAAATTGCAGATACTTTCAATATATCATAAACGATTAGAATTGTTGATTTTCTGAAATAACGATATTGGACATTTCCTCAAGTAAATCGACTCTTCTACTTAGTACGTTCATTCGAGACGAACTCATCCATGAAAATAAAGATCGAGGGGACACGCGTACGGGCGGAATAGTTTCCAGATTTATGTAATCTTTTATACGACATAATGTGAAACACGTGCCGTAATCGTTTATTTGACACGATGCACGTGCTGACGCAACTGCTGCCGGATAAATTCTATTATCCGGAACTCCTTTCACGAATCGCTTCCGTTGATCGTGGACACGCGCTGTCGAATTGCTCACAAATCGGAACGATTGCACTATTAGTCTTTGGAAATAGAATCACGCGTCTAGTTATGCAAATGAACAATCGGTCAGTTCATATCTTCCCTCGAACGCGCACGAACACCAGTAAGCTACTTCGTCTAGTCTTGCAGATCAGTTCGATGTCCAAGGGACAAATAAGAAAATCTAATGAGGTCCTAGGAAACGAAATAATTGCAAACTGGATAGAACCGACCGACCGACGTCTCTCTCCTATCCCATTTCTCTTAACTCCTCTTAAAGAGATTTTCTTAACTTCTTTCTAAGCTTCGGCACACGCTCGCTGAAGAACCCACCCTACTTTCACTCTCTTCAATTGAGATTACACGAGCAGCCACTCGAGAGTGAATGGAGGGTGTCAACCATCCGCGCACGCACACGTACACGCGCGCAGACGTGTGCACCTAAGTACACACGCGTGTCCGTTGGTTCATTCATGTATTTCCTCTCGTGTGAACTCTTACTCTAACGTAATCATATGAGCACGTGCATCAGGGATGATGAGAGTACATACACATAGACGTATGTACATGTACGGCAACTATATCCTGGTACACGTGGAACGCCTGCATCGGCTAACTATTATTATTGACATGAGAATAGATCGGAGGTGAATAGATTGACAAATGGGGGTGAACGTTGGTAGTCACGTGTCTGGCAGTGACGCGTATGCTTTTATCGATTTATATACTTGATTGCATTCCATTCTTCGCATCTACTTTTTGACTCCGGTAATTGCTTCCTTTAGCAACGTTTTTAATCAAAAGCGGAGAAGACGTTCGTAAATTCCCACGAATTTACAGCTAAATTCAGGTCAGCTTTTGAAAACAAGTATAGAACCGTATGTCTTCTCGTAACAACGTTCGCTCTTTAAATCATTATTTTTTATTTATGAACTATTCATTCTGCGGAATTAGTAATATTTTAATGGACGTTCCACGCAGAACTTAGAAACGGTACTAATAGTGAGTGATCATGTCTATTACGGATATGTAAATACGCGAAACTGGTACATCTGCTTCGAGCAACTGAGTAAACCTATTCGTGCTTTATGCTTCGCCCACTAACAATAATGTTTGCTGAAACTTTGCATTCACGTAATAAACACCTGGTTTCAAACTACAAACGTGTATTTTTATGCAAAATTTACTGCTACGTTTAAGCTCTTACGGTGCATTTAATTCTGCAATACATATACATTATTAAAATTGTGTATATGCAATATAAAGTGGGATATTTACAAGTGGTACGATATCGTAAGAAAGCTTGGGTTCAGATAAAAACGATGATAATGATAAATTAATTTAGCAATTATGACTATGGACGTATGTGTGTACTTTTGTTTTGATCATCTTGTAAACTGTTTATTCAGTCATACAATTTTTGAACCTACCGCATGGAGCGATTGAAATTGTTTTGAACGTATACCAAATGGAGAGATGGCTAAATAAACCAAAAGGGGATTGAAAGTCAGAGAGTCGATTGAATGCGAAACCGAGTTAGAATAGTCTAGTGGCCATGTGTGTGGGTTATATACGTGAACTATGACTAAATTGTATTTTATCGATAGGAAACGGCTGTTCGTATCTACTAGAAGTTATTAAGGCAGAAAATGTTGTATACATATATAAAAAGCGCATATTTATTTAGAAAAGAATCCACTGCATATTCAATATCTTCTACAAATGTCATTTATCATGGATTCTGAATTACGTCTAATACGAGGAAATCATACGCAGCTCAATCTGTATTGGGTAACGTTAAATATAAAAATTCTTTCTATGTCGTGTATCTGGTCATAATTTAACGCGAGTTGATATACTCTACACTTTGCTTACAAAGAGTTATTTATTGATTACACTGTTTTTTCTTTAGCTTGTATCTTGTCTAGCTTACATTACCCAGATACCATAAAAGTTTATTGCTCAAACCTAATTTGTTTACATTTAATGTATTAATAACTCGATGTCAGCCTTGAAAGTCGTGTCATGTCGATATTATGAATCTTCGCTAGTGGAATAAAATGTCTCCGTAATTCATCTGATGAAAATCAGAGTAAATTGATTGAAGTAACGTTCGAATAAAGAAACTAATTAAGAAATGTTTAATTAAGGGATGAGCAGAATGAAACGTTAAACGAACGAAACCACAAATAGTTATCAGTGATATATGTAATATGAGGTAGCTGAACCTGACTAGCTGAGCATAAAAATTCAACCAGGCATCTCTTGAAACAAACTGCGAGCCCAATGCTGAAGTTGTAATCAAGTGTAGATGGTTCGTACTGATTGACAATTTTCCATGACCTCTTCACCCTCCAATACTCTTTTCTACTATTGCTACCCCTGTGCCCTCACACTATCCATCACTTCAATACCCACCCCCTTTTGAAATCACGTTTCGTTTCTGCTGCACATAAAGCCGCGTTCATACCGATAATTACGAGATATGTACGTGAAAACTGTTACGCGGATTACGGGTCAGCTAGCGTTTCATAAATTCGCTTGATTCCCTCTATTAATTGGATAGATGCTCGACGGTTGTACAGTAGTGAAAAAAGAAATTGCATGCATGCTGTAACATCGGCGAAAGTGCTTTTGGCAAATGAAAAGCCATTCGGAAACTGATGTTCGATTTTCCAAACAGAAATAATTATATTTTTTGATTGAACAAGTTCAGATAGTTTTCAGTGCAAACGATTTCAACAATTGTTTGTAGTATTTTGTTTTATACCGGCTTGTATTTTTTTTTTATTAATTTTGATTAGCGTGTACAAAATTGATCTCATACGAAAATGTAAACTGAGAGGGTCTGAAAGCGGCTTAATAGAGTCAAGTGGCGGATGCGAAAGAACGAATAAAAAGAAAAAGATGAGCCGCGCCGCGTCGTCGTCTCTTTCTCTTTCGTTCGTCTCTGTCTGAAAATTGGAATATTCGTCCCTCGATGGCAACCTCGCTTTCCGTTTAGAGATTGGTGGTACAATCGAACGATCCATACTCTCGAGAGAAGATTAAATATGACGAAATTAATTAACGGTGACGTGTACTTTTGTACGATGTATCGAAATCGAGTACGAAGTAGTCCCTTTTCTCGTTATAAAAATAAATTGACTTTAAAGATCGTGAACCGCAGTCTGGATTTATTTCTCGTTCGACTTTCACATGTCGATTCTTCTTCGATTATAAGTATCGTTTTTAATTAAATTAATCGTATTCATTCTTTTTTTATTCTCGTTTCGTATTTCCCGTTGACGAGATCCAGAATCGAAGGGTCTAAATATAACGTGTTTTCACAGCGGCTCTTCGAGGTTCACCTCCCTAGACACGGTGAGCGCTTGAGTAACAACAGCATCGAACAATAGCCGGGCAGATTAAGATGTAAATTAGTTCATAAGTCACAACATTATGCAATTGTCAGCTGCGACGAAATAACCCATTGTTATGCCAATAAACTTCAAAGATTCGGTACGTTCGGGTCACGAGATGAAAGATGAAACGGCTTTCAAGTTTTATCGATCACCGTTGTGTACGGTCTGTTTTACGATAGTGTCTTAATTCCCGGCAATAATCGTGGGGCTTACGCGGTGTTATTGAATTACCAACTCATGAAGCAACCTTATTACGGTCATAAGCTTAATCAGCTTTACACGGAAGAAATCGTTTTATGTAGTTCGAAATTACTAAATGTTCTTGCTCGTGGCTAGTTGTCGAGAGTTTTCAAATTCAGTAAAAAATTGTTTTAACATAAATAAACGCGATATCGACAATTTCCTGGGAGGAGAAAACTGGATGCTTTCATTGTATTCCTTTTTTCTCTGGCCAAAGTAGAAACGCGCCAGAAGCTAATTGTTATTGCCTCTATTTCGTTGAAGCTACGACTCTATCATCTTAAGTGTTGCTACCCACAAACAGTTAACATAAAAACGATAACACCGTGGAATTATAGAGCATACGTATAAAAATTGAATATTCTGCAATCTTTTAGTACCGACTGTACACGTATGTACTGTATTACTTTAGCAGTTATGTGTGTAACGTCGTAACACAGATTTATACGTATCAAATTTTTTATTAGTCTTGCATCAAAGGTCACTGTGTCAATATCTCACCAGCAACGTATCACTGTCTGCACTTCTTAATGCAACTATTACTTAAAATTTAATATCGGAATCTTCAATCAAATTCCATTCGATGCATTCTTTCCTTCTGCTAATAATTAATATCATAGTAATCGTAATTAGAGCAGTCTTGTCGGAAATAATGAAATCGCAAATTTATGACACGGCACTGGAATACTCCAGATAAAGACGACATTGTATAATCATGAAATGGTTTCAGTTTGAACTAGCAGCATCTAACAATAAGAGGAAGCTCGTTTATTGATCGATTTCGAGACTTCATTTGCTTCCCAGTTCTTGTTTTCCGTTTTTGGTCTCGTGCCATGCAGCCGTCGTGTACCAAAGCGATACTATCGTGTAGGTTTGTGTATTAATAAGCACATAGATTTCATACTTCCGAAACCATTATCATTATCATAAAATAACGAGCATGTTCAATTATATTTGTATTGAAACTGTCAATGATTTAGTTAATATAATCAGCAGATTAAAATGTGCATAGTAATTCATTCGCAATGTAACTTTCGCGTATACAAATACATTATCATTAAGGATGTTCAGGCTATACAACCCCTGGCAAAAGTGATGGAAATATAAAATTTGGCAATTTCTATGCTTTTAGAATGCAATCATTTACCTTTAATGGTGAATATATGAATCATAACAGTAAAGTTAACTATTAGAATGGTTTTTGATATTCGTAAAGAAGCTTTGACTATAATTTTAGGTTCGTTTTACTACAATCTTTATCAACTGTTACATGTGACTGTACTCGATTTCAACTTGAATTAAGTGTTAAAAAAATTGAATTATTATACGAAAATACAAATATCAGTATTTTAATAAAAATCTCTTTTTCCATTTAGTAAACACTCAGTATTTTCGATGCATTATGTTCCTTATATAATTATTCATCAGCATAAAAAGTTTCAGAAGCTTGACACTATTTTTTCTACATTTTTTTAATCAATGAACCTGACAATGTATTTTGCTAATCTCCATAAGAACACATGTTAATTTTAAAGTACTATAACATTAAAACAAGCTCGTGAATCTTCATAAAAATTTATACATGATTTTACTATGAAATAATCTACTTATTTTCAAAATTTCAAGCTTATGTCATCGTTTTGACTTATAGCCCAAATATCCTTAAACAAACTCATCGCGTGTGTCAAAGTACGGCATCATGATTTATAAAAGAATGTTTAGTACTCGTAGTCGCAACGTGCACTTGCGCACCTTCTAAGGACGATCCTCCTTGTGATTGCGATTATTGCAATGACAAAACACAGGATGATGATACGATAAAGGATGAGGAAAATTCGACGTTAAAATCGCAATTGTATAAAGAGGACAGAGATGGTGACGGTGATCGTACGATCTGCGCTCGTGATCGCGATTTCGATGATCGAACATTCCCAAGCGTGTGTCATATGTTCTGTTACAATCGTTGTCTGATAATGCGACATTCCACTGTCACAGAGAACGACGAAAAGAAATATGTCGCGATCGCTTATAGAACTAGTAAGTAACGACGACCGGTCCTTCACTTCGTGCTCTGATCAAAATACCTTTCATTGATCCTCAGATTTCTATAAACTGCGAGATGGCGAATGTTAAGGAAAGGAAATCTCTGCTGTAACGTGGTCCCATTCTGCCGTGTGTATTGGGAAAAATTTCTACGAGGTTAGTAAATGTTCAAATTAATTGATCCAACGTTTACGGCGTTCAGCGCTTTTCCATTAAATGATGGTAATTATACATATAGAAGTGAACTGTCCATTCAATACTTTTATGTCAATTAAATTGTGTACAATATGAATTAAAAGTCGGCTTCTGTTCAAATCTCTTTCTAAATTACATTAAAAAGAAGTGGACTTCACTTTTTTTCTACATGATTCCGACCAAATGCATTTTTTCCAAAATTCTTTTTACGCGTCATCTATGATCCTTCTAACTTCCCGGAGTAACTTGGTCCGCTTTTAAAAAAGTTACTCAGTTCCAAAGGCTGTTTCAGCAGCTTTATTATCACTCTGCGCGTATACATCATACTGTACGGAAATATGTATATACGAGTACACATTCAGTGCTATCAAGTGCTATTCAAGGACAGAAGAGATGTTAAATCCTTAGGGTAGGGTCGCACAGGGTTATCGTTTAGTTCTGAAATTCGTCACTGGGTTGCGCATTGGACGAACTCTTTCTCGCTTCTCAAATCAAGGTCTAACTATGGTAAATAGCCTGAAGAGCAGCAGGAAATCATACTTACCTGGCGTAGAGGTTACCGTGATCAAGAAGGCGGTTCCTCCAGGGCGAGGCTTTTCCATTGCACTAAGGTTGAGCTGACCTCTGCGAATGCCCCTAATGTGGGCATCTCGGACGTACAATTTTTGGTAGTCGGGACTGCGTTCGCGCTATCCCGGATAATTAATATCTAATAATAATTATTAACAATAGTCTCATAATTTTTACGTCTAAATAAAAGGACGTATATCTTATTATTAGTCTGAGACTCGGTGATTGGCTTTTTATATTTTTAACAATAAGAAGAGTAATGCTATAAAGATATGTAACATGCGTGTAGCAATGTCAAATTGATATTGAAACACGATATTAACAAGTGTAATCGTTTTCAACTCTCTATATTCCTCTCTTTCATTGAGGTTCAATTGCTACCTCGTGCAGGCTACCTACTTATCAGTACAATAATGTTCTGTAATTGCTACGCTCTGGTATACAATATACAAAGCCATTAAATATCTTTGTATCTTGCTTTCGCGTATACTATCTAAGCACGTAGGCACATATGCCTAATAATAATTTCACATTCAAATGAACGTGTTGAATGTTAATTCATGTACTTACTCGTGCCGGTATGGTGATAATAGTCATCTAAATTATATACACTTGGCTACAGATATCAAGAAATTCATACCCGTAGCTTGTTACGTACATTATACGAAGAAGATGAATAATATTCGTGTTAACAGTTGCTTCAAAATATTATCTGTAGACCTTAAGAGTATTTCTTTTTCAATAATATCGATGGATGATGTAACATAATTTCCTTACATTTAAATGCATAGAATTAGCAATTAAATTACGTTAATCATTTTTTAAATTTGAACTTGAAATAGATGGTAGTACGTAGTTCTGGCAGACACCGCTATGCTGTGCCGGCTGTGCACGATTTCTCGCAGTTAAGTTTGTCCCCTACAGGCATAAGTGAGCTGGGAAGGTCGATGAAAGCATACTTACCTGGCGTAGAGGTTACCGTGATCACGAAGGCGGTTCCTCCAGGGTGAGGCTCTTCCATTGCACTAAGGTTGAGCTGACCTCTGCGAATGCCCCTAATGTGGATATCTCGGACGTACAATTTTTGGTAGTCGGGACTGCGTTCGCGCTATCCCGGATAAATAATGTTAAAAAATAATTTGTTTTTATTCATAGACATATTCTCTTCGTTTTAGGGAAGGAATAGTACAATATTCAGTATAAACTCTTTAATCGTTAAAATACAATTCCTCTAAAATTCCATTCTTGGGAAATTTAGTGTCACTTCTTTGATTATGTTGTCCTTAGCTAACCATCTAGTTTCTTAATCGTTTGTACATGATCGATGTAATAAGGAGTGCGCTTATAAAAAGTATTTAGAGTCTTTATTAAACGGATAATTAGATAAGGTAGACGAAAGACGGTAGAGAGAGGGATAGGGTGTTGAGAGTGGAAGGTCGCAGTGTATAAAAGCACAGGTGACAGTCTCCAGTTAAATGATACAGGAAGCACATGGCCTGCTTAAGCATCCGTGCGAGGGCCTGTCTGACGTTTCCGTATATCGGCCGCTTGAAACGTGTTGGAAGTTAGCGGACCAGCTGGTCTGGCTTAGTGGTAGTGGTCGGTGCAAGTAAGCATGGGGTCGGATGGCGGCGTCGAGGAAGGAATTAAACAGACGCGGAGTCCTCGCAAATTGAGTTGAACGGGCTCGGAATTTAAACATTCAAATTAACCTGTTTAGCAAGTCAAAGGGGCTAATGTGCGCCCGTTGATTTCGCACCCTCCTTCGAGATCCTAATATTCAATCGATATTGCTACATCTCCCTTAAGATCTTTTATTTCTTTGTCTGACCTCGTGGAATTTAGTTGTCTACGTTTCTTCTTCGAAATTGTATAGAGAAACAGTTTGCATTAATCGAAACTTGACTTCTATCTAAATTCAATTTGTACGCTCCGTTCTATCGTTGAAAAATTCTAATTATTTCGTAATACTTTCGTACAGCTCCTTCACGTGTCTCGTACACAAAAATAATTACTCCAGTCGGAGACTCGTGCTCGCTTCCGCGGTCAATTTCAAGGAAAAGAGCTATCAGTCAATTAATCTCGGCGATGAAAAATAAAACCGGGCTCGAGAGGAATAGCTTTGATAGCACGTGGCAAAATGCAAGGCTATTAAACTTTTAGTATTTCTAGAATTCAGCGGGGGTAGTAGTATACGTTCCGTTGTACGGGCGGAGCATCTCGATGCGATACGCTGCGAGCCGTTCGGAAAGGAACACCGCTATTAGTGGAATAAAGCATTTCCTTTAAAAGTTTCTTTCTATAAAATCATAATAGCGCGCTAGGAAAAGTTCGCCGGATTGAACGGATATCTATCGAGTTATTTTGTTGAAATTCCATTGGAAACTATCGTAACGTAAACGACAAAACGGTCCGATCTGTGAATCGTAGATGTTCGCAACTTTAAAAAAAATCATTGTTTCCCTCGGCAATAATTATTTCGACTAATTCCGATTCGCTAATCGAACACAGTATGCTGTTATCACGTTATTCATTTGTAACACGATATAATTAGTGATATTAAATAGAAACCAGTTGAGCACGAAGGGGTAATTGAGTGGCTTAATCAAAATGCGTTTGCATCTAATGATACTTCCAGCGAATTAACATCGCATTACACGTTTTATGTATCGTCTGCTCATGAATTCGCGAACGTGGCTATATTATATAGGCATCGTCGCACATTGTACTTATAAATATATAAATAGCATCAAAGGCTATGTCACCGATCGCTTCATACGGGGGGGCCAATAGAGCTACAGAACAGGATCCAATAAAATCCGTACTTCTGAATCGCACGGATGTCTGCTCTGGCTGGCTTCGAGTAGTAGTTACAAAATTTCCATAGTTGATCGGTGCCTTTGAGAAATCAAGAAACAGAGATAGTTTCGCCGAGGCAAGTTCGATGGAACGGAACAGGAAATCCTGGGACGTGTATCGCGGAACATACAAGCGCTCCTTACGTATTTACGTACGCGCCTTGTACACTTCCTAGTCTTTCATACAGGAGTATAAACAGCTTCGTGTTTGGACGTTCCGATAGCTTACGTCGCGTCGTTTATTTAACCTCTCGTATAATACAATTCTTATCATATGCACGATCGACGTAATCGCGGGAATACTTGATGTCGTAGTTGATGAAAAATGATTTAAACATGGTAAAATAGTTGAGAACAAGTGAGGACATAGCATGTTTTTGTTGTATCATAGATTTCGATGACGATATTATGCGCTGAAAATGTTGTTTCAGTTTCGTTAATTATTTGAATCGAGATTCGTTCGAACAACAGTCGAACAACTGTAACACCGTATATATACTGTTGAATAACCGCGTTTCAATCAAATCAAAACGATTGTCCGCGATCGCTGTACCCCTTTCTGCAGAGGCATTGTACAAGCGCGTGCAACTAATCAGAACTCGTTGGAATATTTTCGCGCACGATACACCGGGGCGCGATTATACGCTGTACACCGGTGTTCGCGTATAAATATAGGAAGAGAAAACAGTGACCCGTTTTCGGTCTATCGAGGCTGAAGTAGGTAGTAATACCTGCGCAGGTAACTACGGTTGCCCGAAAGAGCATTGGAAGAACAGTAAAAGGTGCCGTTTCCACTCGTGTCGGAGTTAGGAAATTGTAATTCCGTAGCTTTCAACCGGTCGTTGCGCGGCGATCGTTATCGATTCGATTATTCGTCGGCCGTTTTCACCGCGCCGAAGCCGATGGTGCAACACTCGAAACGAAACAAGCTAGGTAGGTGGTTCTTGGTCGGTTCGTTGCCATCCTCGTAGACGGGGTGACATCTTCGCGGATCGTGTTCTTCGGTATTCCAGCAAACATCTTCGACCGTTTCATTTCTTCTTTCGAACTTTATTTTGAAAAAAAGCAAATGTCCACGATCCGGTGCGAAATGAAAGAATTTGAAAATTGCGAACGATCCTTTGTGTATCAAAGAAGAACACAATCAGGTTTCGTACGACAGAGTGGTGAACCGTCGTGCTGCTAGTTTTGTTAAATGGACGTTATCTCTGTCACGATAAAACGAGATATAGTACTGATGAAAACGGATAAAACAAAATCTTGGAAATGTATAGGGAAACGGGGATTCGTGGCTTTCGAGTTACATAGCAGGGTTATAGAGGGTCGAAGGGGTGAGCTGTCATTTGTCTGGCTTGTTCACTAACTAACAGCGGATAGAAATTCCCCGGAATCGTTTCTGACTGATGCCGAATGATCACTCAGCCGTTTTTCCCCCTCATTGTTCCGATAACACTTCCCTGTCGTTGGCTTACTCTCTCTTTCATTTACAAGAGTATTGCCAGCAACGAATAAGCGGAACCCATCGTCTCGTCATGCCTCCCTCGTGTTCTCCGGCGAGTTGCGAATTCATTTCTGAACGTAAACCGTTCGTTTGCTTTTACGATTCTAAATTATTTGCTAGAGAGGCGATTTCGACGTGTGACCAACCGTTAGTAAAAGCTGAGAAATATGCTTATTAGGCAATAACCGCGGCGGTGTGTAGAGCCATCAGAAATGTTAATGGGTTCGA